GCCCCCCCCCCCCCTACCAATAGATCGACTTGAACCGTATAACCCGCCTTTCACATATTCGGTAGTTGGTTATTTTGGCCCGTTTGAAGTGAAACTTGGGAGGTCAGAAAGAAGATACCGCTGCTTTTTACATGCCTTAGTATAAGGGCCGTGCACATAGAAGTCGTTTTGAATATGGGAACAGATTCCTTCACGTATGCGTTCGCGAGGTTTGCCGCAAGACGAGGATGTCCGAGAAAGTTTTTTAGTGATAATGGGAAAACCTTCAGGGGTGCGGAAAACGAAATGAAAGAAATACTAAAACAATGGAACCAAGGAAGGATAAATCAAGTACTGAGTGATAAAGGTTGTCACTGGGTGTTTACTCCTCAAACAGCAAGCCACACAGGAGGGATCTGGGAGCGCCTCATCCGATCGGTTCGACGAATATTACGTTCCATACTGGGATCATAAGTCGTCAACGAGGAGGTTTTCGCAACGGTGATGACCGAGGTCGAAAAGATAACGAACAACAGACCTCTAGTAAAGGATAGTTCGGATCCAAATGAATACTCCGTACTCACCCCCAATCACTTCTTGCTGGGGATAGGCAGACAAGCATCCACAGCAACGCCAGGTAGGACTCCCACCATAGGCAAGCGTCTCTACACAGATAACGGCTATCGAAAAAAGAATCGTTGAACATGGTCTTTCCGAAGAGGCCAAGTTTCACAACCAGAGAGCAACACAGCACAAGCCGCTGTGAAATACACACGCTCTTTCAGTGAAAAGAATATACCTCACTGGAGCCAGAGATATCGCAGAAAGGTAACAGCCAACCTTGCTTTGATCGAGCGTTAGAGGATTTCCTCACCAAAACTTCCAACAACTGTTATGCAACTCTCGAGGTAGACAAAGCCGTCGACCACTTCCGGGGGTTCCGTTACCCAACAAAAGTACAGGAACCGGTTCCTTCCAGTCTTGTATCATCGCCCCTTGAGGTGAAAAGGACATACCGTATCGAGTAACCTCAATCACCAAGCGATTCAGCTTGTTTAAAATCACCCGGTGCGTTGCCACCGCAATATCATCGCCATACTCGAAGTATGCCTCCGGGATGAACGTCCGTTCCATTACATAGCGCCTTTCGCAGGACATCACTGATGGCTAAGTTGATGAGGAACGAAGAGATAGGGTAAACTCCAACGTGATAGAATAGAATGTAAACCAAGCGGTATAAACGGTTTCTTCGGATGGAGTATACATGACTTGCCAAATGACAGAAATTCGCTGTAGCGGATTAGATGGAACAATCGTTCATCGAAATTAGTACAGAGAAATGAAAAATAGAGGAAACCATAGGGGTATACAGTGGAAATCCATTCAATGATAAGTCTGAACTCGTAATAGTATACAAAATTTCCCATCATTCTTTGATGGTATTCAATTGACCGCAAACTCCTTTCTGACTAGTGGCTGGATATCAAATGAATGACCACAGAAGGCTAGTAAATATTTAATATTCTAGTGTGTACCATTTGCTGTTCTATGCATATTCTGTCATTTCAAAATCCACCGCTGGAAGTGTTTTTCTTTTCTAAAAAGTGAAAGACGTTTCAATACAAACGCACTCACCGAAAAGACCGAGTACCAGAGCTGTCTCGAACAGATCACGTTCCTTTCGATCATAAGCAATGAGGGCCGCCATGAAACAGAACGTACAGAATTCCAAGATAACAGAGGTGCGAGGAAGAAAGCGCTTGTAGCCAATACCACTGAGAGAACAAATGGAGACAAAAAGCTGAATTCGTGAGGTATCGTATGGTTAACGGTGAAATTGGACAAGTAAATACCAGAAATAAACTCAATAGAAATGGTCAGTTGTAAATGGATGAGTATGGCGTCTCATGATAGCTAATCCGTTTCACCTACTCAATCTCCCTCTCAGTTTATACAATTTAATTGGCTTGTACAGGGAAGCCGTACACAATTACTAACTAAGGACCTAACTCATGTACTCACTCATCAACTAACTGTCTAATTCACCTACTTGAGTACTGATCAACTTATCGGCTTTGTATATTTGCGGTGAAATAACTGACCAGAAATCAGGACGTTGCTCAACGGATTAAATAAGTATGTAACTAAGTAGCCATTAGCAAACCAGCATCATCAAACTATTAGATGTCTACTAAGCTTTAAAACTGGCAAAACGAAGGAATTCGGAAACTGTTACTAAGTCTTTATAGTTAACCGAGAAGTTCTTCTTAAATATTTTAATTCCCATTTGCGAAATAGATACTGCTTCACGAAAGCTTACAGCTTAAGTTGCACGATGAACTAGGGAATCGATAGGATCCCAAGTGGACTTGGTTTGGTTTATAAGAAAAATGAACGGAGAGTACTGATATTGAACTCAGTCGAATCAACTTGCATTTCTGCCGGAAGATTGCAACATTTAATTCTTAGTGTCACCATAGTGATCACTACTTGTTCGCTCAGCCCGCTCTACTGTTATTTTATTTCCGGGTGTTCATTGTGCGGCACTATTTATTCTGACGAGTATCCGCTTTCAACTTCATGATTCGCGCAATGAAAAGGGAATCACTCGGATTGCATTGTAAGCACTGAACTCGTATTTGGCCGTAGTTATTGTGATAAGCTTAATGATTGAGTCATTGTCAATGTCCGAGTAACTACGACCACCTTTGCCTTAGCTATAGCGTGCACACCCGGTTAAGTTTCCCAACGGTATGCAGACACCACCAATGTGATCACCTTAAGTGCACATTATATGGTACACAATATAACAAACACTTTTGATCAGTGGCTCACTTGCAAAGTACTTGTGTTTATTTACGGTGTGATCAATTGATGCATAGGAGTTTTGGGAGTTGAGACGCGAATGAACGAACCCAACCGAACTCCGCCGGTTGTTGTCGACACGCAGGG